TTGTTCTCTCAGCAGCAAAGAAATAAATATATTGTTATTTCAGCAGCGATCAACTATACAAATAGCTTGTTAATTCAGCAGCGAACAATTAGATATCTTGTAAACTGAGCTGCGTAGAGCTAGATATTTTGTTATCTCAACAGCGAACCACTAAATTAATTGTTAAATCAGAAGCAAATAATTAATTATTTTGTTAACTCATTAGCGTACAGCTCAATATCATGTTCATTCAGCAGCGAACAGCTAAATATGTTCATTCAGCAGCGAACAGCTAAATATGTTCATTCAGCAGCGAACAGCTAGATAGATATCTTGTTAACTCAGCAGCGGACTATTGAATATATTGGTTTCTCAGCTAGCACCATAGAGTGAGTAGGTCCTTTTTCCAAAAATTGTGGACTTTTTCTTCTACACAAAGGATTTACATGAAAGTAGAGTGTTTGTTAAAAAAATACAAAAAATAAAAATAAAATTGCACTTTCTGGGCTTTATAGGATGTTAGAGTGGTTATTAGATCTCCCCCCCCCCCGCTACGTCCCTGAATCGGTGTACAATTTTGCACTTATATCTAGAACAACTCATCTATTAAAATAGAGGTTCGTATTGATTGGATACTATAAAATATTATGTCCTTTTGCCAGTTGCTTAAGTCTTTATTTTACATAAACAGATATAGTTACAGGGATGTTAAAAGTTATAAATTGAATAGATTGAAAACAAAAACTAATTATAACTCCGTTTTTGTTGTTTTTTTTCAAAAATGTCCTGCAAGGGAATCTTCAATGATAATAATATTTTGTTTAAATTACCTGTTTTCACGGCGAAGTTTTGAACATAATTTTTAAAAGCAGACTATTTAAAGTTTTCTGAATCTTATCATAGCATTATAAATGTCATTCATCCTCCTCTTTTATTTCTCTATATTTGACTGTCTGGAGAAAATAGACCTGTTCAGCAAATCACTTTAGATAATTTAATTCAATATCTAACACTTAAACCAGCATTCATTCACCAGTTAACTGAATAGGTATGTCGCTGGTTTACGTCAGCTCTATGAAATAATGATGTTTTGTTATGCTTGACAAGATCGGGTAATCCAGTCAGACTTGTTGGAATTGTTTTTAACCTTAGCGAGTAAAACTGAATATTCCAGAAATAAAAAAATACGAACTTTAATAGATTTCTTTTTCTCTTGTGGGTTTCGTATGCAATAAAAATTAGATATTTCCATAAACTTCACAGAAGTCTCATTTATATCAGGAATTTGACACACAATGCCTACGTCTATAGGTTGGTATGAGTAATAACTGTTTGACATCAGGCTCACCGTCGTTTTATTGCATGCCAATATTTTGTAACTTTGCACATTGTTTAGGTCGTTAGCTCTGTTACAAGCATTGGCATAATAAAAACAGAAATGACTTTCATAATAACAGTATAAGTGTACTTACCCTAAACTGATATGTTAAGAATTTCATTTCCCTACCTGTAACAGGTGATAGTTGGTTTGATGGATGAAGACGTTCACTGGTTTTAAGATTGAGAACCATTCCCTCCTCCGTAAATCGTTATAAGCATTATTTAATTCTGTGTTTAACTGTTGTAGAAGGATATTCTCAGTAGTTGTACTTTATATTTTATAATTGTTGACTTAAGAAACAAGCGATTACTCCTAGACAAAGTTTACAGAAAGATTAGTTTGAACGCTTGGTTGTGTCTCGAGAGTGAGAAGTGTTTGCTTCAGGTGGCAGAAGTGGGCACCGTAGTGCCTTCCGCGGCTCTACTGTTTGTGGACTTCTGGGATACGAGTGACGATGCTCTGAAGTGACGCAGTCACTTTGCCCCGCCTACGTTTTTTTCAACAGATATATCGATGGCCTATCAGAAAAGAGAGTCTCGCCCATTTAGGCAGACCATGAAAACGGCGTTGAAAAGACCACAAAATGTAGGAGTGAACTAACATTTTATAGTCTGTATAGTACAAATAAGTGTTTCTCTCAAAATATCTGAATTGGAAGAGTAACAAAATAGACGTGCATTATCAATAATCGTAAAGATCTCTAATACAAAATGAATTATTAATATAATCTATTTTTAACTTATTCTCCTGATATTTTGAGATATATATTGAAGCTAACAATCCTTTACCACCTTGTCTCGTTTATGTTGTTTTTTGTCTATTCTTTGGATGAAGATTATAAAAACAAGAAAGTTAAAACCATGAAATATCTAGCTATTTTTTGATCGTACGTCATGACATAATTATTTTTGTTATTAATAAATATAATCGATATTACGTATCACTAATAACAAACATCATTCAACATAATGTTTGAAAGATCTATGAAGATTTGTCCTCGTGTTTATTTACCGTAGCAACCAAAGGGAGTAACTCAAATAACTTCTGTTTAATTATGTTTATTTCTAAACGACGCTTGATATATATAAGTGAAGGCTTGCTTGAAAAGGCTACTGTCTCTTATACATGTTAGATCACTATACATTATGTTATGTCGTTTAAGATATACAAATTAATTATAGCTTTTGAACGTTAAGTTTTACATACACACAAATCAGACATAACCTGTGAACGTCAGGTTTTACAAACATACAAATCAGACATAACCTGTGAACGTCAGGTTTTACAAACATACAAATCAGACATAACGTGTAAACGTCAGGTTTTACAAACATACAAATCAGACATAACCTGTGAACGTCAGGTTTTACAAACATACAAATCAGACATAACCTGTGAACGTCAGGTTTTACAAACATACAAATCAGACATAACCTGTGAACGTCAGGTTTTACAAACATACAAATCAGACATCCCTTTTGAGCGTCAGGGTTTACACACAAAGAAGTAAATAATCTTTAGACGTGAGGTTTTCATACATTGCAAGTATGTATGTACGCTGAACATCAAGACATACACAATTATAATATTCGAATTTCGTGCTTACGTACAAACATATAATCTATAACCCCTTAAACATCAGTTTTAGATACATAGAAGTAAATGAAAACATTCGCACATCATGTTTATACGTATACAAGATGCAAAGATGTTTACACGTACAGTGTTATGAGTTTACATCAACATAT